ACGTCGGTTGCCCCAAATACACCTGCTACCATGATCCCGAATCCACCTTCTGGAAATCGGTCGTCGAGCTCGGGGCCAACGACGGACTAGCGACTCGACACAGGTGCTAAGACGTATACCCCCGTCAGGTTTTGCGAATGTAACCATCTCATTAACCATTATGTCAGACGGCCACATCAACATATGCTCGCACATCATAAAAAGAGCTGCAAGAACAACCAGGTCTGGCTGCGAGAGATACCAGAACGCGCGAGGATGCAGTCGCGCGGGACCTACCGACGTTCTCAATGGAAAGGTAAGCGCCGCATCCTGAAGGTCCTCAGGCCGCAGCTTCGGTAGCAGATCCCAGCTCTGATAATCGGCAGGCACCTTGTTGCTCACCACCTCATGACAACTCCACACCTCACCCCAGCACCCAAGCTCTCTGCCAACAAGTTGGTACGGCTGGGAGTTATCAGTGTGAGTGGCAGCAACTTCCAATGTCTTCGCCTTCGACGCTCGACGTGCAGCACCCGCGCCTTTCTCAAAAGCAGTCTTGACCCATGAATGCCAAGATTTGTCAGCCTCCTTCTGATGTACCATCATTATCTCATCAGCAACTTCCACCATATTGAATGCCAATGTCAGAAAACCAGGTTTGACCATCATAGTGAAATCTCCAGTAAGCAAATCAACTGCCCAATCATCCAGCTGCTGCAGCGTGTCCTGCGCATTGTGCACCTTCTTCAAGAAGCGGACCACATCAACAAGTGCCCTGGCCAATCTTGCAGCTGGTTTGAGCAGCTTGTGTGATCTAAGATCTTCTTCGCAACTTGCACGTGGTTGTGCGCACTCTTGTTCCCCTTTCAACTGTTCTGACAGCATTTTCGCCCACATCACCCCCGCGCGCCGAGACTTGGGTCGCAAGTGTGGTCTTTGGACTTTGACCTTCTGCCGAGCCTCCTCCAATTCTTCGTTCGTAGTCTCCAATGCCACGACCTTGTCAGGGCGCGGACTCGTGTAGTCAGGAAGCTAATACTTGCCAGCACTTCTACCCTCAAGCTCGAACGCCCCAACCATCTTGCACCAGAAGGCCCGCACCTTCATAAGATGTTTAGCCCAGCGCGCAGCCTGCAGCCAAGCTCGAAGTCGCGGCCCATGCTGTAGTCGCACCTGTCGTGGATTCCATTGCGCCTTGACGTGCTTAGTCTGCACTGGTCCCCCTCTTCCCAGGTATCTCTCATGACCAACGCCTACCTTGTCATGCCGTGCACACAACTCCTGCTCAACTGCCATCAAGGTCATATCCCATGCATGCTGCAATGAAGCCTGCCCGTCAACATCTTCTATCGCCCTCATGACTGGCACCCAAGTCACAGGATACCTGGAACAGCCAACATTTGGTCCTTTCGGGAGCTGACGAGGTTCAACAAGCAAGCGCAACCATAAAGCATGATCTGTCTTTTCAAGTGGAATGGCCACGGGCGAACGTGTGGGTAGAATCGTGCCATCCAAGACCATGGGGGCACCAGCTCGCGAAGCCAGCGCCTGACTAAGAAGAAACCAATCATAAGTACGACCTTCAGCTCCTTTGTGAACTCTGCACGTATCACCAACAGGTACCAAAACCATTGCCTGAATCTGTTCAAGCCATTGCTGCCCACGAAGCTGATACGACTCAATGTCCCAACCACCTCCCACCACCCATGGTCTCGAAAGAGAGTTAAGCCTGCCAAGATACTTCGCCAACTTATATAGGATGGGCTGGTTGTAGACATCAATTCCAACCGAGTTTGTGAGATAGAGCGATACACGAACCACTCTGCATTTACAGCCCCAGTTGACCTGTGCAGCCACCGCTCTTGCTGGCCATAACGTTGGCGACGATAAAAGTGGCGGCGCCGTGATCATCACAAAGGTCGGCACCAACACCGCCACGCCCGAGCTGAGGCCGCCTGCTTCAGTACGTTCAGCTGCCGCATACCCCCCATGGTAACCAATATCCTGGACCTGCTGCTGGAGCTCAGGAAGCGTCTGGTGATCCGCCTTGTGCTCTTGAACCAATATTGCGGCATCACGCGCTTGTTCAAGATACTGCAACAAGGGCCCAGAAGCATCCGTGTTGACGGTGGTAATGCGTCCATTCATAGTGTTCCCTCCAGCTTCCTTTCTGGCTTGAATCATATCACTGTACTTTCCAATTGCAGCACAAGATCCGCCCAATGTAGCCGACCTCGGACTTCCACTGAAGCCGCCATAGAACATTGCCTGCCTGGAAGAAGAGGCAACTGAGCTCTTCAAATCCAGACCACTTCCTCCACTATTCGACGCCATGATCAATAACCGTACCATAACAATCTTCACGTATGAACTACATCTCCTAATACACCTGGAAGCTGCCGAACTTGGTCTGCTGCCTGAACTGCAAGAGCTTCTTCGCCGCCTCCCTGAGGTCGGGCTTCTCCGTCGGCACCTCCACGCCAGTAGCTTCCAACATCGTGGAGAGCGCAGCATCACTGGCCTCCTCAAAGGCCTTGTCCTGGGCATCCTGCTCCTCAGCAGCCCGTTTTGCAGCCGCCTCTTCAGCAGCTTCAGCATCGCGCTTGGCTTGGAGCTCCCGTGCTGCGCGAGCAGCGAGATCATCAGCTGACCCAGCAGCAGGAAGACCAGTTCTGCCAACGACGGTGACTTGGGCATTGGCAATGATGGCAGGCAGCTGATTGACGATGCCTCCCACCAACTTATCAGCGCGCTCACCTGCCCCAAGATCTCGTAGTACTTGTCCCAGCTTTGACGCATCAAGCCCAATAGCTGCCACTTGCCCAGCACCTTCCTCACTGTGAGCTCCAGGAGGCTTGACTGAGGCTTGTGCAACCTCCAAGGCTTGAGCACGCATCTCATCGAGCTTGACTTTCTGTTCGGCCACCGCCTTCTCAGACTCATCAATCTCATCGTGCAACTCTTGTAGCTGTCCACGCTTGTCCTCAATGTTTTCTCCTGCTTTGCAATCTGGACACCCATAGCCTCAATCTTGCGCGTGAGATTGAGCATCCTCGCTGCTGCAGGCTTCCGCTTGTTGATAGCCGCCTGGAGCTCCTCACGTTCCGCCCCAAAACTGACTTTGAGCGTGACCCAAGCGAGGCCCTCGCACTTGCTGGCCATGTTCAACTGCCTGTCCAGTTCGGCCAGTCGTGTTCGAGCCTTTCCTTCATCAAATTGACCATCATTAGTGATAGATGTGCCAGCGTCGTCTCCAGCGTCCACGTCCA